CAGGGGTCCAGGATTATCTTCTGTGTCTGTGTTAATTGGTTTCCCTTTTCTTTGTTCAAGAGGGTCTGTGCAGTCTTTCTGCCTAGTCTGCCATCTTGCTGGAACCCTAGACCAGCTCTGTTTTGCCCCATAGCTCTAGAGAAAGGTTCTTATCTTTCTCAACCACGGTTCCTTATCTGAAATACAGAACAAGAAAATGATTTGAATACTGTGTTTTCAATTCTCTCAACATAGTACATAAATAGTACCACTCTAGACACATAGGAGAAAAGTTGATTAAATACATGTTAAGGATGCCTTAGGGCATTTAGGAATTAATTCTTTCACCAGTTGAGAAATGCATAGGCCCTGCAATCAAGACTGCTACCATGATTGTTCTGCCTTGTTGTGTAGCATAGGTGGCTGCAGCAGGGAAGCTATGGGAAGGAAGTGTCAAAGGATGAGGCATGTGTTATCTCTGTTCTGCAAATTGAGGAACTGAGGCCTGGAGGGGACACACATTCTCATTTTCCCAAGATGGGCAAAGGTAGGAAGCTGTAAGATCTTCTCACTGGTCAGAAGGGGAAAATAGAAAAGACAACCACCTCCTATGCCTTGACATAGTGGTTGTCACCAACTTTGTTTCTCAGTTGCCAAAGCCAGGCTGCATTATATGACATGTTGTGGAAGACAAATGCTCTATAAATAAATTGACTTGGAACAGTCTCAAATACGCAGAAACCACAATGGCTTTAAAATGTAAGTCTTAACTTTTTTCTCATTTTCTTTCTTCTTGGAGAGGTCAGCAAGGAAAGTTCTGCAAGAGAGGCCTTACTGGAATTGAAACTAAGAAATTAGGAAGAACTTATCTGTGTTCTCTATAACAAGCATATTGCATTCTCAAATACTTATTAAAAAGGTGCTCAATTCAATACATGCATCTCTGAAGACTCATCTGTATGAGTCTTAAGCTTGCATTTTTTACACATTCTTCTAAAAATTCACTTTCTGATGGTGATTATTCATTTTATCATCCCATTTCCCATTATTAAAAATTTCATATGCATACTGATGGGGTACTACGTAAAGAGAGCATTTTTAGTGATAAGCTCTGGTGGCATTGTGGTTAAAGCATCAGGCTGCTAAGCAATAGGTCAGTAGTTTGAACCCAGCAGCCACTCTGCAGAAGAACGATAGGGCAGTCTACTTTCGTAAAGTTTTACAGCCTTGGAAACCCTCTGTGGGTCACTATGAGTTGGAATTGACTCAATGGCAGGAAGTTTGATTTGGGGGAAGCTGAAAAAAGAGCTGACAGCTCTTCCATCTGAGGAGGTTGTTGTTGTTAAGTACCGTTGAGTCAGACCCAACTCATAGTGACCCCTCCTTGGGTTTCTGAGGCAGTATCACTATGGAAGTAGATTGCCCCATCTTCCTTCCGGGGTGGCTGGTGGGTTTGAACCACCAGCCTTCTGGTTAGCAGTCAGATGCCTTAGGCACTATGCTACCAGAGCTCCCATCCTGAGGAGGAGTCAAATTTCTGAGGAGTCTCTCTGAGAAAGACTAGGGAGCCACAAGAATGCTGGGTAATGAAATGGTGGCCTCAGGGCTCTTTTTCTGTACAGATTCTGAAATGGAGGTACCCATTTTTAAAGTAAACAATGGCATATCATTTGTGGGATAAAATTAATTAAGCTTCCCATCACATCACCACATTAGCAAGGACAATAGTAGCAGAGTCTTGAGTTTTCATTTAATGGTTGTTCATCTGAAAGGAAGGTCTCAGGGTTGCCAATGCTAATTGAAAGAGCACTTACTTAATGACTGGTTTGCATGACTGAAAGAAAGAAGATGTCTCTAGCCTAGTAGAGGAAATCCTTTTGATAATATAAGAAAATGTCTAACTTGGCTAAAGGAGTGAAATTCCGCTGAAGCCTTCCAAGTGGGTGCAGGTAGCCAGCCATTAGAGAACATCGGGAAATGGTCATGCTGAGCAGGAAGATCTCCTGGTAGATGGGATTTCACTTTAGCTGCTAAAAATGTTTTTAAGAGTCCATATGCCTGTGCTTTATTCTAGGAAATTCTAAGGTCCTGACATGGCCTAACATGATTCCTTTTGGGCTACAGAAGAGAATTACTTATCAATAACCTTCCTGAGGAATTGCAGTTTAAGCATTAAATACCAGTTCCTTCCTCTTCTCTCTCACTGGACTGACTTTCTATTCCGTGCTCTACTAATTCCCTGGTTGGCACAAATATTAAGCAGTTGATGACTGACAGAAAGATTGGTAGTTTGAACTCATCCATAGGCACCTTATGAGACAAGCCTAGGGATCAATTTCCAATAGGTAACAGTCTTGAAAATCCTATAGAGCAGTTCTCTCTACACATGGGGTCATCAACAGTCAGAATCTACTTGAAGGCAACTAACAACAACAATTCCTAACTACTTGTGGGTCCCGCATTGTGTCATGTAATTGCATGCCTTTGGGCCTTTGCCCTATTCTTTCACCTAGAACTTGCTTCCCTCTCCTCCCCATCTTTTACTAGTCAATTTATCATTGCAGATTCATTTTAGGAGTCATCTTCTCTAGCAAAAGGAGCTCTGGTGGTATAGTGGTTAAGGTATTTGGCTGCTAACCAAAAGGTCAGTGGCTCAAACCCACCGGCTGCTCCATGGAAGAAAGACGAAGTGATTTGCTTCCATTTAGATTTACAGCCTTGGAAACCCAATGGGGATTGCTATGAGCTGGAATTCACTTGATAGCAGCAAGTTTGGTTTTTTTTTGTCCTCTCTAGGAATCATCTTGGAACCTCTATGGTGAGCCAAGGGCCTCTCCTCTGTGCCTTGTAAGCTCTCTTTATGACAACAGTTAACCCAATCAATGGTTAACTGCACTCCACAGGTTTTCAATGGCTGATTTTTTTTTTTTTGGCCACTAGCTCACCAGCCCTTGTTCTAAAATGTCCCTGGGTGTACTCAAACCTCCAACCTTTTGGTTAGCAGCTGAGCACTCTGCACCATCTTGGGACTCCATGGTTATAATTACATTATATTTAAATTGACTTCATACTGTATTCACTCTATGCGTCATTCCAGATCATGAACATCTTTGCTTATTTTGGGTGGGACTAATGAACCAATTTTGATGTGTTTTTTAAAATAGTCATTAAAATCTGAGCATTTAGAGACCCAAAGGGCAAAGTGAGTACATTATAGTGACCAGTTGTTGGATCCCAACAATTAACCCAACAAAATGGCCTCTATTACATACATAATTTGCCATTTTTGGATTTCTAAACTCCCTAGTGGTGCAGTGGTTAAGCTCTCTGACATCAACAGAAAGGTAAAGGTTAATGGGTTTCCAACCCATCAGTCCGACCTGTTGCATGCGAGAAGGATGTGGCAGTCTTCTTCAGTTGTTGTCTCAGTCAGACCGACTCACAGCGACCCCTCCTTGGGTTTCCAAGGCAGTATCACCACGGAAGTAGATTGCCCCATCTTTCTTCCGAGAAGTGGCTGGTAAGTTTGAATCACCGCCTTCTGGTTAGCGGTCAAGTGCCTTAGGCACTATGCTACCAGAGCTCAGTAAAGATTCCTAAACCCAAATCCACTGCCACCCAATGGATTCTGACTCATGAGGATTCTATAGGACAGAGTACAACTGCTCCATAGGGCTTCCACGACTATAGCTCTTTATGGAATCAGACTGTCACTTTTCCCCCCAGCAGAGTGACTGGTGGGTGAACCAGGACCTTTCAATTTGCAGTCAGTGCTCTAGCCACTGCGCCACGAGGCGCCCTTCAGTAAAGAAGGCTATTGCCTCAGAAATCCTATGGGGCAGTTTCTGCTCTGTCCTACAGGGTCACTATGAGTTGGAATCGAGTTTATGGGAAAGTTTTTTTTTTTTAACCTTGTGACAGGTACTTTAACACTTTACATTAACACTGTTACATAAATCTAATGCTCACGATACTGTTTCGAGTTAGATATTACTGACTCCATGTTACAAATGAAGCTAAAGATTAAAGGCTCATCTAAGTTCACACATTTTAAGAAGTCTCACTACAAACCAGAACTCTATTCCACGATATCTCAGATACTGTTGTTTTTGAGTGATTTTTTTTTTCTGGTAAATTAATTAAATAAATTCTAGATAAGTATAAACGGGAGACCCTTTTAGCGTAGTCTGTCAGCTGAGCAGCTGCATTTGACCATGGGTTTTGTGACTAAAATGAAAAATGTATGGCCTCCATGGGGCTATAAAGTACTAGGATGAAAAGAAGCTAAGCGCGAGGTTCATGGGGGTCTCTCAACTTCGCTCTATATCGACTTAAGGTATTTTAGTTTACCCCTAAGTAAAGGTCAAATAAGTGTTTGTGTGAATGTGGCAAGGAAGGATGGGTGGAAAAGAAGGATCCTCCAATGAAGCGCAAAGCAAGCCGCTCTGCCTTCTGGCGCAGTTGCCCGGACAGCACCGCCCGTGCAGCAACGGCAGAAACCGCACCGCGTCCCGGCGGCGGCAGCAAGTCCCACTGACGCATTGCAGGTACGAACCGGCCAATCAGAGGCAGGCTCAACGACTATTCGCCTACAAGTCGTCACCAAAATGTTCCTCCGCGCCGCAAAGTAGCGCCTCTTAGGCGTGACTCCGCCGGCTCTATAAAGAATGGAATCCATTTGGATCATTTTTTCCTCGCTTACTTTTCTAGTTTGCATCGTCGACCAAATAACTGTGGATTAAGGGTCTCAAGAAGAATTTGAAGGGAGCGGGTTGACCGGGACTCGTTTGTGTTGTTCCGTTATCTGGCGTAGGGCGGAGGGATCTTGCGGAGGGAGGTGTTTATGAGGCGCTGGGGGCGGAGGAGGAGAATTAGTCCGTGTGGAGCTAGAGAGCTGAGTGGTTGTGTGATCGCGTCGCGGAGACCGGTAGCGCTTGCAGCATGGTGAGTGCGTTGCTAAGCTGCCGGCTCTTGGCCTGTGGGGGAAAAAGGCTGAAGCGAATTGAGTAAAGAAAGGAAAGTCACCTCTTTTAAACTCTCAAGGAGTAGTCTTCGCCAGAGGGATGGCGCCAAAGAGGCTGGGGGTGCCTTCGACGGTTATGTCGCAGGTGCTCCCCACCCCCATCCTCTTCGGGGAGGTTTCCGCTGGTGAATGTGGAGCCAGGCATGCAATCTCCGAGGTTGTGAATTTCCTCAGGGGTTTGCTTGGATAAAGGTGGATACGGGTGGGGGGCAGTCCAGCACATGGGGGAATAGAAAAAGGGTAGGGGAGAGGGAGTGCAGAAAGCTTTCGGTAGGGCATCTCGAAAGGTCAACCCAGGGGCCGGATACAAAAACCCGACGAAACGTTAGTGCGGGCGCCAGGAAGCGCCTTTGTCCGCTTGCGACCGCCATGCGTTGAGGAGGCGGGAGAGCGCGCGGAGCCCGAGGCGAGCACCGATCCACCGTTACCCGCATCCCCCGCGTGCTGG